GCCCACTGAGATGTTGAGGTCCCCAGCCCAGGGTGGTTCTAGGGAAACGAGATGTTGAGGTCCTCGGCTCGGGGTGGGGCTAGGGGATGTCCACTGAGATGGTGAGGTCTCCAGCTTGGGGTGGGGCTAGGACATACTTACTGAGATGTTGAGGTCCCCAGCTCAGGGTGGTTCTAGGGAAATGAGATGTTGAGGTCCTTGGCTCGGGGTGGGGCTAGGGGATGTCCACTGAGATGTTGAGGTCCTCGGCTCGGGTTGGGGCTAGGGGATGTCCACTGAGATGGTGAGGTCTCCAGTTTGGGAGGAGGCTAGGACATACTTACTGAGATGTTGGGGTCCCCAGGCTGAGCAGCTCCACTGAGCAGAGCACATCATCCCGGCTCATTCGGAAGCACAAACGCCGGAGGAGAAAACAAAGAATGCGCCAGATTGACCGGGTATGGAAACCGAGGATATCTGGGGGCAGAGGAGGTTGGACGAGCTGGGGGCATGGGGTCCCCGCTTAGTGTCCTCCCTCCTGTTTCCACAGTCCTCCTCCTTCAGCAGCATCACGGACTCTACCATGTCTCTGAACATCATCACGGTCACACTCAACATGGGTAAGGCAGAATGGAGGCCCTGGGCTCCACTGCCCTCTTTCCTGATAGCCAGGGATTCAGCCTGCCTGTTCCCTTGGGGTGGCACCACCCTCCTCTGCCCAGTCCTCCTCAGGAAGGACACATAGTCAGCTCTCACCCTCTTGATTCTGAAGCAAGCCCACAGGCTTCCATTCCCAGAGCTCCCGTGCCAGGCAGCTAGACGGGATTTAACAGAACAAAGCAGAAATCATAAAGTTCCCCACATCCCCTTCAAAGTTGGGGGTCCTTGTTCTCCAAGGGATGTCCATGGGGCCCCACCCTCCCCAGCATGGCTTCTCCTATGTCGACTTAATCCCCCGGGCCTCTTTGCCCAAGGCTGTCCTCCTCCCCCTCCCCCAGTACCAGAGGCGGAGGCTTTGGGTTCCCCCTCACTTGGTTTAAGGAGGCAGCAAGGAGTCCCTTTCTCATTCCCTCAGGCTCTGGAACACCAGACAACCCTGTTTTCCCAAAACCATTTCCGGAACCTTCCCTGGACTACATCGAGACCCACCATTTCTCCCACGCAGTCAGAGTTCCCTTGCAGAGACCAGGTTGGGGAGGTTCTGGGCCAGGGCTGGCCTGGATGGTTTCTGTTCAGCCCCTGTTTCCTCTTTCTCCTCCAGAGAAATACAACTTCCTGGGCATCAGCATCGTCGGGCAGAGCAATGACCGGGGAGATGGCGGCATCTACATTGGCTCGATCATGAAGGGTGGAGCGGTGGCTGCTGATGGCCGAATTGAGCCTGGGGACATGCTGTTGCAGGTGGGACCCCCGGGTTGACCTGACTCCCAACATACCTTCGTCTCTCTCCCACCCCCCTGCCCAGGCTCCCTGCTGTGCTCCAGGCATCTGAATCAATGACCCAGGCCAGGAAGCAATGTCAATTAAATGTCTCCAGCTGTCCCTGTCCTCCTGGGGCACCGTGACTCAGTGTCCACATCAATCAGTCAGCAAGCATTTATTAAGCGCTTACTGTGGGCACCAGGCACCATGCTAAGGGCTGAGGCCACAAAGACAGGCATAAATACAGTCCTTGACTTCAAGGGTGAGGGAGCCTGCCTGCCTTGCTCCCCTGGCTCCACCCTGCCCTGCCCCACCCCATCAACTGTGCCTTTCCACTCACAGGTGAATGATGTCAACTTTGAGAATATGAGCAACGATGATGCTGTGCGGGTCCTGAGAGAAATCGTCTCCAAGCCAGGGTGAGCGGTTGGGGGCGTCCAGGAGAGATGGAGGAGGGACTAGGAAGAAGGGCGCTGCAGTGTGAAAGGTCTGGAGGGATGAGGGTTTGTAGGGGGCAATGACCAGGGGCCCTGTCTGCCTCCCCTTCAGACCCATCAGCCTCACCGTGGCCAAGTGCTGGGACCCCACGCCCAGGAGCTACTTCACCATCCCCCGGGGTAAGCGATGCCTTTCTAGGTACCATCTCTTCCTCCCCCTCCACGCTGGGCCTGCCGTGGCCCCAGCTGCCCCAGACCTGCTTCAGGGTGATTCTCACTTCACTCCTTGGCCCCCTCCCACTGTCCTTCCCTCAAACCCAAATCCAACCCTCCTCATGCCATAAACGGGGGGCCAGACAGAGCCACAGCTCTTCTCAGGGAAAGAGCTAGGTCTTCCCCTCAGAGGAGCCGCAGGGCAGATGGGACAGAGTCAGGGAACCATTGGAGGCAGGGTTGGGGGTGGGGAGGGTGCTAAACAGGGAAGACTTCCTGGAGGAGGTAATGTTTTAGGAGGTGAGGGGAATCCAGGAAGCAGGCTAAGAGCAGGTGAGCCCAGCAGTGTGGAAGGATGGACCCAGGCTACACTGAAGAGGCCTTGAATGCCAGACTCAGGAGTTCAGACATGTTCTAAGAGGTGGTTGGCAGACACTGCAGGCTTTTGAGCCGGGGAGTGATGTGGGGAGGGAAGGGTGTGAGAAGATTCACTGAGCACCCTGGGATTGATCTTGGCCTAATTCTTTCTCTGTTGCCCCTTTCCCATCTTTCCCGTCTCTTTCCCCACATTCCTGCCTGTCTACGTCTGTCTCTCCTGTGTATCGGTCCCCTGCCTGCCTCACCTCCTCATCTCTCTGGTGTCTGCCCCACTCCTCCAACCCTGTGTCTCCATCACTCTCTGCCTGTTACCCCCATCTGTCTCTTTTGCACCTCCTCACCTGTCAATCACCCCTGTTTGACCATATCTCCCCCATCTGTCCCTCTCTTACTCCCCATATTCTGTCTATCCATCTCCCATCTTCCACCCATCTGTCTGTCCGTCCATCTGTGTCTCTTCCTCTTCCCTCCTCCTCCCTGGCCCGGGGGGCACCATCACAGCTGACCCGGTGCGGCCCATCGACCCTGCCGCGTGGCTGTCGCACACGGCGGCGCTGACGGGAACGTTCCCTCGCTACGGTACGAGCCCCTCCATGAGCACCATCACATCCACCAGCTCCTCACTAACAAGCTCTATTCCTGATGCAGAAAGTAAGTGGCGGCTCAGACGCCCCATGGGGCAGAGCCGGGCCTCGAGCGAGACGGGCCCCCACTGGGAGCCCAGCCCACGGTGCTGATGGACGTGTGCACACAGACTCACACACCTGCCGACACACCCATGCACTTGTGCACCTAGGCTCACACACCTGCTGACATACATCCACACACATGCATGTGCCCAGACAACCACACTTGCCTATACGCATATACGCGTGTGCACCCAGGCCCACAACCTGCATTCACCTAGGCTCATATACCCGCTGACATACATGTACACATGTGTGCCCCCAGGCCTGCATACCTGGTGACATGTGCACCTAGACTCACAACCTGCATGCACCTAGGCTCTCACACCTGCTGACATACATGTACACACACGTGTGCACCCATGCCCACATACCTAGTGACACACACACGTGTGCACCCAGGCCCGTATACCTGGTGATGCACATGCACATATATGTGTCCAGGCTTATACAACCTGCTTACACACGTGGCTCACAACCTGCCTATACACATGCATATGCACACAGGCTCACATACCTGCCCCCCTCCACACACATGCATGTGTACCCAGATTCGCACACCTGCCTGCCCACATGTGCACCCAAGTTAGCACACCTGCCTCCACACATGTGGCTTACAACCTGCCTATGCACATGCATGTGCACACACACACTCATGCACACACATACCCAGTCTCACACACCTGCCTACATAGACATGTGCACCTAGGCTTGCACCCCTACCTATGCACATGCATGTGTACCCAGGCTCACAAACTGCCTGCACATGTGTATGGCTCACAGCCTGCTTACACAAGTGGCTTGCACACCTGCCCACAAACACACACTTGCTCATCTATACTCATGCTCGTGTGTGCTCAGGTTTGCAGCCCGCTTGCTGACACACCTGCCTGCAGGTGCACCCAGGCTTGCACACCTGCCTACACACCTACCTGCAAGCACCCTTGCCTATACACACGTGCACACAGAATCACACACCTTCCTACACACATGCGTACGCATTTTCACAGCAGTTACATGGACACGCATGCATCTGGTCTGACATGCAAGCTTACCCCGTCCCCAACAGCCCGCGTGCTTGGGTTTCCATGGAGATGCTCATATGTTTGTTGGGGGGACCAGAGTTCAAACTTTGAGGTTCCTGCTGTCACCCCCATTCGGCTGGGTCTGAAGAAGTCAGGGTGGAGGCAGGGGCCAGGAGGTTGGGAATGCGCAGGAATAAGGCAGCCTGTGGGGATGTGATGCCTAAGAGTCTGAGCCAGGAATGGGGAACCTGGGACCTCAAGGCTGCATGTGGCCTTTGCCTGAATCCTGAGCGGTTCAGCCATGCTTGAGGGCCTAGAGGGCCACGTGAGGCCTAGAGGCCGCAGGGTCCCCACCCCGGCCTAGAGGGTACAGGGCAGAGGGACTTCCCCTCATGTCCCATCTGGGCATCTTCGTCCTGCTTTCCTGCCCACTAACAGCACTAACCTGACCAAAGCTAGCTCGTGGAGGGGAGTGGGCCTGAAGCCCAGAGCCCCAGGGATCCTGGTGCTGGGGAGGAGGAACACGTATAGACAAGGGACTTCATCCTGCTCCCTGAAGGGCCTTGTCTAAGAGGGGGGATACAGTGGCCCCGCATCTGGATAGGGCTGGAGCTCATGCCCATGGCAAGCATTGACAGCCAAGCTGGCCTCCAGGAATGACTCAGTGTCTCCATGCGCAGCTGGCAGGCTGGAGAACCTGGGTCCCAGCCCCAGAACCCCAGCTGTTCCCCAGGCACCCATCCTCCTTCGTCCCCAGGGACTGAGATCCAGCTGTGCCCCTCCATAGGGAGGCTTTTCCCTTCACTTCTGGAGGAGTATGGGAGATTAGTTGTCCATTGACGCTGGCTCAGCCCCAACCCCCAGCTCCATTTGTGAGATGGGAGGTGGCAGTGGCCAAATGTTTTCTGGGAAGACCTGGAATTGGGGACTACGGCAGAGATGCCGCCGTGGTGTACCATGTTGGCATGCTTGGGGCCAGCTGGTGAGGGGCCGGTGACTGCCCTGGGAAGGTAGGGCAGGAAGAAGGGGCTTCCCCCGACCCGGCCCATCCAGGCTGAGGGACGAGGGGACGTGTCTCCCTTTCAGAACTCGAGGAATCTGCCCTGACTGTGACGAGTGACATGGGGGCCATCGTGAAGGTCATGCAGCTTCCAGACTCGGGCCTCGAGATACGGGACCGGATGTGGCTGAAAATCACTATCTCCAACGCGGTCATCGGTGAGTCAGCTCTCCCCCAGGGCCCACGAGAGATTGCACATGGCTGTGGGGTGGAGAATGGGAAAAAATTCATCCACTGCTCTGGGGGAATTGGAATCCTCACAGTGGGAGGTCGGGGAGAGATCTCTTCATTCATTTGAGCAAACCTGGGGTCAATTCACAACATTTGTTAAGCACCTACAAAGTAATTTCGAGGGGAGGGGAGGCTCTGAATTGGCTTCCTTCATGCAGGAAATGGTCCTGGAGCTGAGCTTTTTTTTTTTTTTGGTTAAATTTATTTACTATTTTTATTTTTTGCCAGTTACATGTAAAAACAATTTTTAACATTTGTTTTTTTAGGAACTTTGAGTTCCAAAATCTCTCCCTCCCCCCACCCCACATTAAGAAGGCAAGCAATTCCATAAAGGTTATACATGTGTAGTCATGCAAAACATGTTTCCTTAATAATCATATTGTGAAAAAAAATAGACCAAAAAAAAATAAAACTCAAGAAAAATAAAGTAAAAAAAAGCATGCTTCAGTTTGTATTGAGGCACCATCAGTTCTTTCTCTGGGGATGGATAGCATTTTTCATCGTAAGTCCTTCAGAATCGTCTTGGATCATTGTGTTGCTGAGAATAGCTATGTCATTCACAGCTGATCACCTTACACTATTGCTGTTACTTTGTACACAGTACATTTCACTTTGCATCAGCTCATGTAAGTCTTTCCAGGTTTTTCTGGGAGCATCCTGCTCATCATTTTTTATAGCACAGTAGGATGGCATCATAATCATATTTGAGCTGAGCTTTGAAAAAGATCTAGGAATTCTTTGAGGTAGAGGTGAGGAGGGAGGGCATTCTAGGCATGGAGGACAGACTGGACAAAGGCATGGAGAGAGGAGATAGGAGGATGGATACAGGGGACAGCAAATAGTCCACTCTAACCAAAATGTAGAGTCTATGGCAGGTGGGGGAGAGGGGAATCGTGCAATTACCCTATAAAAGGAAGCTGTAGATTTTGTGTAGGGGTTTTAAATACTAGAGGACTTGGATTTTTAACCTAGGGGGCCACTAGAATGAGTCTTGGTCAGAATCGTGCTTTAGGAAAAGCCCTTTGGCCTCTGAGTGGAGGCTGGAGGCGGGGAGGCCAGTTAGGAGTCTATGGCAGTAGTCTGGAGAAGACACAGGGAGAATTTGAATTTGAGTGATGACTCTGCTAATGGAGTAGAGGGAGTGGCTCAGGATTGTGGATATTGAACCAAGAAGGTTTGGAAGCTATGGAGTGTATTCACTCTTGGAGTAAAGAACAGCCAGGGCCCCCAGGCACTTGGTTCCAGGACCAAGGCCACCTGGGCCCTACTTTGGTGTAGAGGAGAGAGGACCACACTTGCAGGCAAGAGACCTGGGTCTGATTTCCAGCTCTGACACTAGTGGTGCAACCCTTAGAAAGTAACCCTCCCTTTCTGTGCCTCAGTTTTCTCATCTGTAAAATGGGGATAATAATAGTTCACTACTTTTGTCATGGGTCCAAGGGATGGGATTGTGAAAGAGTGCTTTGAAAATCTTGACATGCTGTAGAAATGGGAATTATTATTGCTATCATTATTGTTGTTATTAGTATCCATCCACCCATCTTGCTCATCTCTCTGCTGCCTCTTGGTGAGACCTGGCCCTGTGCCGCACAGGTTGTAGCCTTGGGCTCCAGGTAGCGGGAGTCACATCAGAGGGAGGAGAAGGTTCCTGACAATGCCCCCCATTCCCTTTCCCTCTTATAGGGGCAGATGTGGTGGACTGGCTTTATACACACGTGGAGGGCTTCAAAGACCGGCGGGAGGCCCGCAAGTATGCCAGCAGCATGCTGAAACACGGCTACCTGAGACATACTGTGAATAAGATCACTTTCTCCGAGCAGTGTTATTACGTCTTCGGTGACCTGTGCAGCAGTAAGGACAGGCCAGGGCATGGGGAGGGTGGGGCGGGGTGTTGGGAAAAATTATGGGCAATGAGAAGTACTCAGGAAGACCTGAATCTGGCCTCAGTGACTTCTTAGCTGGGGGACCCTGGGCAAGTCTCTTGTAACCACCAGTGACCGCTTTCTGTCTCAGTTTCCCCATTTGTAAAATGGAGTGTTGGGCCTGGAGTCAGGAAGACCTGAATTCAAATCTAACCTCAGATATTTACTAGCTTGTAACCCTGGGCAGGTTATGCGACCTCTACCTGCTTTAGTCAACTCATCCCTAAAATTGAGATAATTAATAGCACCTCACTCCCAGGGTTGTTGTGAAGATCAGATGAAATATTCATAAAGTGCTTTGTAAACCTTAAAGTGCTGTGTAAATGCTAGCTATAAGAATAATCATATTGTCATGTCATTATTATTATTATTATTATTATTATTACTGGGGAGAGATGACCTTTTGGCCTTTTCTCAGAAGGCCCTTAGTCTCAGGATGGAGATGTGGTCCCTGGCGATGACCTGCCTTTGAGATCTGATGGGGGGAGAGCTGGGACTCCCCATGAGGCAGCAGCTCTGGACAGAACCACCCACCATGAAATGTAGCCCTGGCCAGCCCTTAGCAGTCAGCTCTTGCAGAGAAGGAAGCAGAGGCCTGGGTGGGGGAGTGAGTGACCCGTGGTCACAGGGCAGATAGGAGAGCTGGAGCCGGACCCAGGGGTCCAGAGCCCCATCTAAGGGCTCTTTCCTCTATTCTGCTCTGGATGAGGAATGGGATATGAGGGATTCAAGATGGGGGGAAGAAAGGGCTATGTGTCGTGGGTGGGGGGTAGAGATAACCCCCACATTGGCTCCTGGAAGCCCTTCTCTCCTTCCTGTCTTGTTGGGGTTGCTGCCGGCCAAGTTGGGCTAGAAGGAGGAGCTGTCCTCACTCTGCTGCCCCACAGTCAGCCGGCAAACACTTATTAAGCACCTGCTGTATGCCAGGCAAAGCTACAAAGAAGGGGAAAAGAAAAACCAGTCCCTGCCCTCAAGGAGCTTCCAGTCTAATGGGGAGATGGCACACAGATGGCCATGGGCCCCAGAACTCTGGCTAGTGAGTGGGACATGATGTCAGACGCATTCTCCTCCTTTCTATCTGCTTTCTTCCCCCAGATCTGGCGGCGCTTAACCTCAACAACGGTTCTGGCGGAGCCTCGGACCAGGACACGCTGGCCCCGCTCCCCCACCAGGCGGCCCCGTGGCCTGTGGGGCAGGGGTATTCTTACCCCTACCCTGTGCCTCCCCCGGGCTTCCCACCTGCCTACCAGGACCCAGGCTTCAGCTATGGGAGCGGGAGCGCAGGGAGCCAACAGAGCGAAGGTGAGGCCCCCAGGGCCCAGCGCGTAGCACCCCGCGCCTTTCCAGGCTCCCCCGGGCCCTGGCCATCAGCTTCTTCCTCCTGTTTCTGCTGCTGTCCCGCACCTCCTTCCCATGCGCTCCCTAAAGGCTGGGCTTCCTCCACTGAGTGTCAGCGGGGACGCTTCCCTGCCCGCGATACCCCTTCCCCGCCTTCTGATGTAGCCCCTGGAGCTGGCTGACACTGGGCCTGAGGGACAGTGTCCAGGGCTGACCTAGACTGGGCATTCCTAGTTCAGCTGAGCAAGTATTTTCTGAGTCTTCTCTGTGTCTAGCCCCGTGCTGTGGAGATGCCAGGAGGGGCAGCATGGCCTGAGCCCTGGCCCCTGGCTCTCATTTCCCTATGTGACATGGTCCACATATGTCAAGGGCCCAGTGAAAATGACCATCTGGTGGGAGGAACCTGAAGGAGGGGAGTGATTAGGAAGAAGAGAAATGGGTGGAATTCAAGGCCAGGCCAGGGCCACAGGGGCAAGGTTTCCCTTTGGACCCCAGTGATCAGGGCAGGCTTCGCAGAAGAAGGGTGGGATTCGAGCCAGGTCCTAGAAGATGAGGGAGGGCTTGAATGGACTGAGTAGGAGAGATGGCGTGTATAAAGCCACGGATCGCGGGTGACCATGCTAGGTGGCCATGGGACCAGGGAGGGGATGGTTGGGGGAGCAAGCCAGAGTTTTTGAGTGGGAAGGGGCCTCAGAGACTCCTGAGGTTGGCCCCCCTCATTTTACAGATGAGGAAATGAAACTGAGGTGACGGGGTTTGCCCAAGTATCTGAGGCAAGATTTGAACCTATGTCTTTCTGACAAAGTAAGTGCCTGTGCTGCCTACCTGTGTCTACACTGGGATATAGAGGGAAATCTCCACCGAGCCAGAGTAAGAAGACTTGAATTCTGCTCTAGCTTCCTGTGGGAACTGCGGCAGGTTACTGCCCTTCTCTGGGCACCTCCTGTGCCATGAGGTGGTTTGGCTCATCTGTCGCTACAGTCCCTTTGATTTTTTTCATTTGGGCAAAGGGAAGCCATGAAAGCATTTTGTTTGGAGAGGGACCTTTTCCGTCCTAGGCGTTAGGGAGGTAACAGCGGCAGCCTCGGCAGGATGGACCAGAGGGGCACACTAGGCAGGGGATGAGTCAGAAAGGTAAAGGTCTGGATTAGGAAGATTGGTCCTGGAGCTGAGCATTTTGGGGGAAGAAGAAAAGAGGGAAGGCTCAGGGATGGTTCACAGATTTGGGAACTGACAGACGGGGATGATGATGGAACCACTGAGCGCAAAGTGGTGTTAGATGGCGGCATCTAAACCAGCTGGCCCCAGGGAGAGAAGTCCTTTAGACACTGGGACACGTGGATCAGCTGCTTGGGAGAGAGGGCCGGGTGTCCTGTGAGTCAGGCTGCACCCCCCGGGCAGTTCTGGAGGTCACGAGCACACTGTTCGAGGCCCTTCTGGGGGCAGTCTTGAACTGGGGAAAAGAACATTGGCTCAGGAATCAGAAACCCGGGTTCAGAGCCCAGCTCCGCCACTTACTTCCCTAATCTGGCCCAGAGCTGGTCACTTGCCCTCAATTTCCTCAACTGCAAAATGAAGGTGTTGGAATAAGGGACCTTCACAATCCCTCCCATCTCTATGAGCCTTTGGCATGAGGCTCCATCCACAGGTGTGCCAAAGGGATTCAACTGCTTACAGAGAAACAGATGGATAAATAATGTCAGCTCTGAATGGTCACATAATAATGTCAGTTTAAGGTGGGGTCGAGCAAGGAAGTCTCCCGAGCAGAGAAGCCGTGTGCTGAGCTTGGACATGATCTGTCAGAGCAGTGGGGTGGGAGGCCTCCCCAAGGGCCCGGGGTACCCATGGCCACAGTACTGGCTCTGCCCCCTGGGCACTGGAGGGTATGCAGCGCTTCCTAACGTATAACTTGGTATTATTCCCTTGTTTTGTGCTGAGCAAGCATTAGACTGAAGGACTCCTAACGGAGTGGATGCCTCTGGGGGACGGGTAAGCCTGTGTATGAGATCGGTGCCATGGCATGCCCCTGAGATGCCCGTGCTGCCCCCAGGCAGAGGCACCACAGAGAGGCAGGGCTCCGAGGGTGGTGTTCTCAGGTGCTCTCTCCCCCTCCCCCCACCAGAGCTGGCCAGGCACCCGGGGAGCTCACCAGCTCCCTCCCCTGCCCATGCAGAGGCCCCTGAGGGTGGGGCCCCCTGTATTGATATGGGCCAGGTCTATCCAGCTGCACCAGAAGTGGTGGTGGGGGGGTTGAGTTTGCTAACAGGCCCTTCCTGATGGGCACGGTGGGTGCCCTGTTCCCCCACTTGGTGCCTATCTCCCCTTTGGTAGAACTGAGAACCCCATCTCCTCACAAGGTTCTGGGAAGCCCTCACCTGGATTGACCAAGCTGAGCATCTAGGGATGGAGGGCCGGTGGGGGGGTGGGGGGAGGGTGAGCGAGGTCACTGAGCCTTCTTCTGTGATCATGGTCTGGTGGTGCCTTCCCTCTTCCCCAGCCCCCACTTCCACCCCCCATTCTGTGCCTTTGCTGGGTTTGCATGTTCCCCATTGCCCCCCCCATCCCCAATCTGCTATGGCTACTGGGATGTTTCTCTGCTAGGGGTTTTGGTGTCTCTGCATGGCTCTTCTCCCGCCCCAGTGCCCGCCGGCTGCTCTCGCTGGCGCTCCTGTTCGAGCCGCTGCTCCTGCTTCCTACAGGGACAGAGAAGTCAGGGAGAGCAGTGCATCAAGACCAGTCCTGTGCCCAGCTCCTACCGTGGCACCCATCATGGTGGGGGGGGGGGGGGGGGG